CCCAGTCTGTCAAGGACACCCGGAGATTTATGGGACTTTGTTCCTATTTTAGAAGGTTCGTGAAAGATATTGCAATGATTGCTCGACCACTCACCGACCTTCTGAAAAAAGACGTGAGTTTTACGTGGGGTTTCACTCAAGCTGCCGCTTTTTCTCACCTCATCACGCTCCTTATGACTCCACCTGTATTGGACCACTTTGACCCGTCCACTCCGACAGAAGTCCGAACCAATGTGAGTAGTCACGAGACTGGAGCGGTCCTAGCCCAACGCCAGCGGGGACATGACTGAGTTATCATCTACGCTAGCCGCCTTCTCAGAGCTGCCGAGCACAACTATTCAATAACAGAGTGTGAATGTCCTGTTCTTGTTTGGGCAGTCATGAAGTTTTGCCCATATTTATATGGCACAAATTTCTCTGTAATAACGGACCACCATGCGCTATGTTGGCTTTTGTCACTGAAGGATCCTACTGACCGGCTTGAGCGCTGGGCTCTGCGACTGCAAGAATATACCTATACAGTCACGTTCAAGTCGGGATGCCTACATCAGGACACAGATGGCCTCTCCCGCTACCCGGTTGATGAATTGAGCACCATCCCTGACACCGACACCGATACTTGCGTCTTCTCCATTTCGCAACTGACCCACATAGATGACGAGCCACGCCGTGATGCATCCTTGCATGCTCTAATCGAACATCTCGAATCACTGTTTTCCGACAAGTCCCATCGCTCATTCGTCCTCCACAATGGTGTCCTATACCGCCAGAACTTCTACCAAGATGGACCAGCCCAGCTGCTCGTCATTCCAAAACACCTCCGCCCGATAGTTCTCCACGAACTCCAAGACCTTCCAACTGCCGGTCACCTTGGTGTGTGTGACGCACTTATGACCAGATTCGCCGACGCTTCTTTTGGCCAGGGCTTTCACGCTCAGTCAGAAGATACATTGCGGCTTGTCATAAATGTCAGTGCCACAAAACACCATCGACACTTCGCGCCGTGCCCCTTCAACCACTTGACATTTCATCAGAACCTTTCTTCCGCGTTGGCTTAGACCTCCTGACCTTTTTTCTTTGTCTTTTTCTGGCAACAGGTAGATTGCTGTGGCCACAGACTACGCCACGCACTACGCCATCACACGAGCACTTCCAACAAGCTGCGCCACTGATGTCGCCGACTTCCTCCTCAAGGATGTGATCTTGCTACATGGAGCTCCACGCCAGCTGCTTACAGACCGTGGCCACACCTTTCTATCAAAGGTCATAGCCGATATCCTTCAGTCATGTGAAACGATGCACCAGCTTACTACGTCGTACCACCCGCAGACAAATGGACTCACGGAGCGTCTGAATCGAACACTTACAGACATGCTTGCGAAATATGTTTCTTCCAACCCCTCTGACTGGGATCTTGCTTTGCCATACATGACATTTGCATATAATTCTTCTCGCCATAACACTGCCGCTTACTCCCCATTTTTTCTGTTGTTCGGCCGAGAACCTAAAATTACCTCTAGATACAGTCATTCAATCTACTGCGACACCGACCAGCGAATATGCCCTTGACGCTATCACTCGGGCTGCCCAAGCACGCGAAATCACCCGCACTCACTTTCTGGCCTCTCAAGAGAACCAGCATAGCCGCTAGGCAGAGAACCAGCATACCTTAGCCACTAGACCACCGCGGCAAGGCAAAATTTAGTGAATGAAGTAAAGTTGTGACCTATGAAATATAGCTCTGTATCGTCAGCAGCCGCAAAAAATATCAAAATGTTGTTTCGGCAACAGCCCGCCACATTTCCCGCCGTCACTCGAAGCTGGCCTGGCCACGATGCGAGTGCTCCATGTGTAGAGCCTAGTAACTTGGAGCTTGGAGGAAGGAAAGCTTTCATTATATTCCTTCCTTCTTAAGGAGAAGTGTCCAAAGTGTGCGCTTGCGTGCACACATGCAGTCTAGCTCAGTTGTGGGAGTGAAGGCCTTTCGCAGTGAACTCCCGCGGTGCAGCGCCTGCCGTGCCAGGACCCGTGGGGCTCCTGGGCTTTCTTTGCGCTGTAAGCTGCTGATGAAGCAGCGAGTGCCTCCTACGAGGCCGATATTTCCGCCACTATTTGTCAACGTGCAGTAATATGGACAAGATTTATTGCTGCATCACTTCAACACAATACTGTAGCGGCTTACCACACAGATAACACTCTTGATAGTTGAGAAGCGAGGGTCTCGTATATTTGCTTTCAGTTGTTTTGTCGCGGCAATCGTCCGCACTTACTGACCCATTTGAAGAACACATTTTGCGTTCACCCATAGTGAGCGAAGGTGCTTTATTTAGTTTGTGTGGAATAACAAACGTAAACATGCTGCAGAATAAAATAAGCTGGAGATCACAAAGATAACCAGGAGAACATAGCTTGCAAACTTCATACACTTTCTTTAATTTCGTGCATTCGATTCATTTTACATGGCTGTCCATGATGCTTTGCTGTTCCAAGCCTTTTAATACGTATCGGTATGTGTCCACGTGGCCGCGGTACCAAAAGTAAAAAAATAACTCTCGTGTCGTTCACTTGGTTGCTCATGGCATAACTACACTGACATGCTTGCGATATGTGCAACGACTATAGGTAATGAAATGGCATATAGCGCAAAAACCCACTTTTGTCAGCCAGAAATCTGGCATTCGTGCTCTGAGGATCTATCTCTCTAAGAAATTCAGACATGGCGATCAGCAATATTGATCTCAAGATGAAATAATTACCTATACATTTTGAAGAATTGACTACATTGCTAAAATACATGAAAAAAAAAAAAACGAACTCACAAGCTCTTGTATATATTCGCCTAAAATGAACAAAACAGGGAAAGCCATGTACTTCATTTTTAATTTGAGGGCTTCATCTTTTCCCGCCCTCCTCCGGAACTTTTCTACACCTAATGTGGTTTCACGCTGCCCCCAGGATTGAATGCATTGTAAGGTTTCTACACGTCACCATTTTATATGGCCTCTGCGATTGCTCCATGGATCATAGAGGCAATGCAAGAAGACCATACCATGTCAAGTGATGGTGGCATCACTTGACATCAAGCTGAATGACATCCTTATGGCCGTCAGAAAATTTATCGATCTGTGATGTCATGGCGTGATAACTTATTGCATTCCTCATATTGACGAGATGAGATGCTGGCAGTTAACTCCTGAGCTTGGTGAGACACCAAAGGCTTTTGCCTTAAAAGACGTCAAGACAAACCAATGTAAATGAATCGATAATAGGGCACCATCGTGTACGCCTTACTTTATGTTATGAGCGACCACCTGAAAACAAACGTGGTTTCCAGCTCACAGGAGCTGATTGCACAAGAAACATGCTCTATCTATCAGATAATCTCTTTATATTTGTTGAGGCAATGACAGACAGGCTGTGTCAGTTCATGCAAAGATTTTGAGCTTGGCAGAACTAGGGAGCTTCAGCACAAAACCACGGTGTACGCTATATTGAGCTCATCGGAAAAAAAGAGGGAATTTGCAGCCAGGTGCCCTGTTGATGCGCGCTATGTCACCGTGGAAACAATTGCACTTCATGTAAGTAATAGTCTACATTATTTTTTAAAAGTCTCTGAATCATGTGCAAGCTAACTACCAAGAAACTTGAAAATACGTGAACTTAAGAATGAGTTGTTTGTACTTGTTTTTTTCTTATGATGAAGGCCTGAAGCAATGAATGGACGCATCTCTCGAAAATGCTTCATACTGACGTTCAGGGATCCCTTTATATAAAAACAAACCCAAATACCCAAAACATAAAACAGAATTCACCACAGCTAGCTCCTAAACAACTAGTCTCAATATATATATATATAATATATATATATATATATATATATATATATATATATATATATATATATATTGTGCGTGTTGTCTGCCGTCACTTGTTGCATCTCTTTTCTGTCTAGGTACTAAAGTAATGACTATATATGAACAGTTTTTTAAAGCAGTTGAAAAATGACACTTTTGATATGTAAACTTCTTACCGTATTTTTGTTCAAGCAGCAAGGATAGGAGTATTAGTAACTTAAATTTCATGATATCTGGATATTGCTACAGCAGCTTCTATATTGTGCTTTTTAAGCATAGACTTATGGCTTAATGTAAGTTTACCTGGCATTGTTTTTCTTTCAACAGCCGGAATTATCTCAAAATTTGTGCTCACTGAGCCTTGTATGCTACCTCAGAAACGAAAATAAGGACACAGTATTGAGGTAATATAACAGTCTCTACTATTTCGCTTGTTTCCCTTATGTCTCCCGATGAGCTACGATCAAAGTAAGGAGTCAGTCAAGGCTAAAAAGTTGTCGCATTAAGTGGTGTGCATATGGCTGGGAAACCACGGGCGACCACGAGCAGTTCGAGCTAGTATGTAGTAATGAGCGAAGCGATCACAGCGCGTATTTCAGCTGACTACCCGTGCAATTTACCTTCCTTTATTACTTTTACTACTATTGCATGCGTGGTACCATTGTCAGATTACTTTTGCGAAAAAGTTGTTTCCACGTCACTTGCACGCTCTTACTCACGCACCAAGGGCCACAACCTCAGTCACTTTAACTAGGCCACGCTGGTGCTGCTTGACACACAATTTTTTTTTAGCATTCTGGGGTTACCCTAGCACTAACACAATGCTTTAAATATGGCAAGCCCAATACGCACCACAATATGAAAGACTTCAGGTACCCTGTGTGAAAACAGAGTCCAAACAACTACAGCGCATAGCAGGCGTGCCCCTCGCTTTCCGCGTGCTCCAGCCCGCAGGTCCCAAGCTGGTCCGGTGCAGCAGTAGTGCGACGCGGTAGTTCACCGCAGAAGGCCCACATGAAAGACAGTGCTTTGGACACTCCCCCTATTCGAGGTTACTCTACCAAGTGTGCTCTATGACAACTATGACATAATTGGCCGCGTCTGCATGATGTCTAGCTGTCATGCGTGCATGCGTAACGACCTCACCTGCACCAAACGCACTTATTCCCACGTTGACATCCATATCTGACGCTCTCCCGTAGTCCAGTTCCTCAGACTCGCCACAACTTGTCTCAAAGAAGGACTCCCTGAGCTCCACGGGGCCGCTCTGTTTTTTGGCCTGGCTGGGGCAGAAGGTGCATCAATATATGTATATATATATATATAGGTGAGAAAGAAGTGTATGCGTAAGGGCTCGTTTTTCCGTGTTTTGGCACAATATTAATCAGATCTAACAAACAATAATACCAAGGAATGTAAAGGGGAAGCTATTAGAAGTGTGTGTGCATAAATATATATATATATATATATATATATATATATATATATATATATATATATATATATATATATATATATATATTCGAAGGTCGTAGGTTCGATTCCTGCTCACGACAAGTTTACATTACATTGGTTCTAATAACTTCCCCTTTACATTCCTTGGCATTATTGTCTGTTAGATCTCATTATTATTGTGTCAAAATATGAAAAAACGAGCCCTTAAGCGCGCGCGCGCGCACGCGCACGCACGCGCACACACACGCACGCACACGCACACGCACACACACGCACACGCACACACACGCACACGCACACACACACACACACACACTCACACATAGTGCACCGGCAACCAAGACACTGAAAACTCATCTTTATTGTCTTGAGTATGTGCCCTGCAACCCAAACTGGAGTGGCGATGATGAGTACGTACACATGAAAATATAGGAATGCAACGCTCACAACATATATACACTCAAACCTTGTTATAACATAATGAGATATAACAAATAATGGATAAAACAAAGTAAACGAAATTCCCCTTGAAAACTCTGTTGAGAACCATGCATTTTAAACCTCATTGTAACGAGCTAAAATTTACTGGTAAACAGATATAACGAACTAAATTAGTCTATCAAATAGTCCAAAAAAAAAAAAACGACTGTAGAGTGTTAAGTATAGCGTTTTCTGCAGAGTTTGATGCTCATTCGGCACGGCTCTTTCAAAACTCCTGCGCCAACTTACAGCCACGCCAGGCGCGGCCGAAAGAGCCGTCCTCCTCACACAGCCAGAGGAGAGGATTGAGGAAGCGCTCAGCGGGTCACATGACCGAGAAGCGGCGCCGGCGGTGCAAAGCAATTGCCCTCTCAAGACAGCAATGACTGCGTCTCTGCTGCTACCAAGGCTGCTGACTCTGCCCTGAGAAAGGAGATAGTCTTTCAAGGGGACTTTAGACGCAAAAAATTTGGTCTGTCCGTCTGTCCATTTGTCTCTTAGTTTACCCTTAACGGCACTCTAAAAGGCACCAGAGTGACCGACCGATCCCCCTAACAGCCGACCCCATCCGCAGCGCCCACCAATATTGCTCAAGCTTCAGCATTCATACTTGTGCGATTATCAATTAAGAAGCAATTATTGTACATATCTGAGGCACCATAACAACACATCAATATTTTGTATGTATATAGACAAGGCATACATAAGCAATTCTAAGGACCATAGCGCTTATCATGCCGCGCTGACTATGCAACACTTACACGAACGGTAAGTGTTTTCAACGCTTTGCTACGACGACACGGTGGTGGCACCTACCCGTCGCCTTGCGTTCTACACCTTATCACCTTGGAGACAGGCGCGCACCACATGCGTGCTTCGTTTTCCAAGATAACTGCCAGATAGCAATCATGTCTCACGTGTGACGTGACTTGATGCGCTCATTCGCATCCCCTGCACGCTCAAGGCACTCTAACGCAGCGCCTCCAGAATACCATTCACGGATATTTTTGAGCAGAACATCAAATAAACAGTTTGTTCACTCTTTCTAGACACAAGACTCTTGTCTTTCGATGACATTTGCAGTGTAAAATGCAGATATGGGGCCAATTTTTTTTTCCCTCTCTGTGCACGCAGCCCTGAAAGGAAAAGGGTCTCTACGTGCAGAGATCAGGAAAAAGTTGAAGCTTGGAACAGGCACGTCGCAGATTGGCATTTGAGATAGAGCAAAAAATCTGCCACAGTTTTTTTTTTTTTCCTTTTCTTCCTTTCCTTCTTTGCGCGCAGTGTTGAGAGGTGCCGTCACGGGATTGGACATAATGCTGAGAGCATTTTTGGAGCGCAGTATGTTCGAATTAACCGCCGCAAGTGTTTGCTGCGTTCAAACTACAGGGCGTTTTCGCCCATCGAGATACACATAGCTTTGACGGGACCTCAGGCGTGAGTTAAAATTACCCGAAAGTTCTAATTAATAAAATTCGAGTGAGTTTATTTTCCGTAGCACGCGTGGTCGCGTAGCGGTACATTGGGCATCTAGGCGGTTTTTTTCTTTGCATGCTTATAGGTGTGCACCCATCTGAGCATACATTGCCAAAAATTGTTATAATTGATATAACAAAATAATGGATATAACGAAATAATGGATATAACGAAATAATTGTGGCTCCCCTTCAACTTTATTATAACAAGGTTTGAGTGTATATTATAACACTTTATTTGCTTCAAGTGTACCCGTACTTTCATTTATGCTACTTTAGAGGGTGTTAGATTGGTGTATGAGGTATGACTCACCATGTTCTGGTTCCTGGTTTGATTTATATCTGTTTTCTAAAAGTGCAACTGACTATTTGTCGAATGAATGGCCAGGAAGGTTAAGGTATCTTGATGAAGGTAGATTTAGAGCTGATTTTATGTGGGCTCTGTGATAATTTAAACGAATCTTAAAGCGTGTTTTTATTTGTCGAATATACTAAATAGCTGCACAAGATGCGTTAAAGTATATACTGCATTAGAGGAATCACATGTTAGATTTTCTGGTATGTTAATTGAAAACTTGGGATTGTGTGCTGGTTGCCTTGCGTGTCTCCTGCATCGCTTTACATAGAAGACATCGAGGCTTTAGAGAAGGTCAGCACTGTTGTAAGTTGAAATATTGTTTTGGGAGTTTACAAGTGTTCTTTTGAAATTGCGCGTTCATCTTAAACTGACGCCAGGAGCCGATGGCACTGCACGTTTCAGATGCTCACTTTTTTTCAGTATGCTGTAATGGTGTTTAAGAATTGTGTCAATACCGGGGAAGTTTGTGTTGCAAATTAAACACAGGTGTGTCTGTTGCAGGTTGTGTTGGGGTGGTTGCTTCATAAGAAGGTCATGACGCTTCAGTTTTCTAGTCATCTCTCTTGAAACCACTCCTATACAGTAGGTACATTACTGACATTTTTCTTATTTGGACTCATGCTGAGGACAAACTGCTAAGCTTTATCGATACTTACAGTGCTGTGCGTCCAAACGTCTACTCCACATACACCTACTCACAAGTATAGCAGTAAATTATCTTGACGTTACCAAAGCCAACGCCACCTCTATTTTATCAATGCCATCCAGATGCACCCGATCCACCTGTTCACCGCCCTCTCCTCAAACCCTTTCCCACTATCTCCCATCGCGTAGCTTTCAAGTGTGATTTTTGGTCACGAGGAAGAGTAGCCCTTCATGCATGCCTCATGACCGAAATCATAAGAAGTAACTTTTTGTTCAGTTTTGTACAGTTCCACGGGGCGGCATCTTGCATTCCTCGTGTTTACAATATTGGCAGTCACTCTGGCTCTGTGAAATACACGGTGTTTTGAGAAAGGATAGCCTGTCACCATTCGTGGCATTATGCGGGCAAGCAGAAGTGTCACTCCAGCGTTTCTGCATGCGCTGCTCTGTGACGCAGTGACGGCATTGTCTCGAGCCAGAAAGAAGTAGCATGAAGGAGAGGATCTGACAGCTGTATAATATTGGTGTGGGAAACAGGCCTATTGCGTCTTCAGGGAAAAGCGTTCGGACGCACGTGTGCTGCGAGCAGCGTGACCCCTCATACAACGCCGCATCCCGATCACTTTCGGAATTAAGGTGGACTGACGGTTTCGCACAGAAAATTGCGTTTGCACTGGCATTGAAATAAAGGAGGTGTTGCCATAGCAACAAAGACGACAAACTTTTCACAACCCTCTACTGCAAACCAACAGATCGATAACAGTACCTCCATTACCAAAGTGATCATCCACGTCATGGTAAAAACAGCATTCCAAACGGCCAGGCCCACTGTGATAATTTAAGCGAATTTGCTCAAAAGATGCTGACTTCCACACGAGCTCACAAAGGCTAAAACACATGCTCGATAAAGAGAAATATCCCCCGCACCTAATTGATGACACTATTCAAAGAGCTAGAATACTATATATTGAAATACAACGGTTCAGCTGACGCTTTATTCAAGCAACAGCAAGATGGCACCGGTGATGAAGAGGAACAGGCCGAAGACTGATGATGGTTATTGACAGATGAGGAAGATGACGTCCAATGAATTCTTAATATATATATATATATATATATATATATATATATATATATATATATATATATATATATATATAAGGACAGAAGTGTAATCCTAAGGGCTTGTTTTTCCCTGTTTTTATACAATATTAATGAGATCTAACAGACAATAATGCCAAGGAAAGTATAGGGAAAGATATTAGACCAAATTTTAATGTAAATATGAAGAAAAGTGGGTGAAAAGATAACTTGCCGTGGGCAGGATTCGAACTTGCGACCTTCGAATGACGCGTTCTATGCTCTACCACTGAGCTACCATGACAGCTATCCCCCCAGCCACTTCTTATAGGGTTTATATCTGAATTAAACGTGGGAGTGTCAGTCAGTGACACCAGTAGTGATGGCGGCGAGTGTGACACACTCTTTTGAGCCTGTTTGGCGTCACGTAGCACGTGAACTTGCTATGAGTGGGCAGCTGACCAATAGTCCCTTGTATACAACCTAAAGGCACTTAAGTCTGCCAGTACGAGACCCTCGTTAATGAATAAGGAAAGAAGTGTAAACCTAAGGGCTCGTTTTTCTGTTTTTACACAATATTAATGAGATCTAACAGACAATAATTCCTTCCAATATATATATATATATATATATATATATATATATATATATATATAGGCAGGCATGGTGGCTCAGTGGCTGTAGCATTGCAAGTAGTCAAGAAGATCTTCACTGAGCGGTCACAATGTGGTTTATTTCGACGTTTCGGCCTAGAGTCTGGCCTTCGCCCCGCCGCGGTAGTCTAGT